GCGCCAGACAGGGTAACAACAGGCTACAAACTGAAACATATATAAATGAATGTATCTACCACTATGAATTTCTACAATATTATATAAATACAGGATTGATCAATCTTACATCATACAGAAAACAGTTACAAAACAAGACCAACCAGCCAGCATATTTATCAGGTAAACAGATAACAAGCCACCCGCGCATTCACACAAGTTCAATGGCAAGTCGTGTATATACTTACATAAGTTTATCATAACGTATATTTATACCTACGTTCTGCCATGATTTATATAATACTTTATTTTTAAAAATGTATAAGAACTAAGCTTTGATATGGACAATACTACAGCTGGTGTGCTGTCCTCGTGCAGTGACAGTGTGGTGCTACCAGTATGTAACATGGCGGACGACAGTTTTATTTGAAATAGGACCAATCAAGTTTGGCCTGGTCCAAAGACAATGACAGAAAAAAAGATCAACCCAACTAGACATATTACCCTAAAACCTAAAATGAACCAGCCCTGTGACACATAACTGTGCAGTAAACATAAAAACAAGAGGAAGCTGGACTGACAACTAATTGAAACTTATCTCAAACAGATGTATACAGGTATCCAAACACGCATGCGCAATATCAAACATGTACTTGACAAAAACTATTTTAGCTTAACGTCAGCATTTTTGTATCAACATTAGAATTCCAAGTTGTTGTTTAAATTAAATTTCTTAATTTTTTTTGTTAAATCATCTGTTTAGAAGATATATTTTCATATGAATGAATTGAGAGAGTTGATTGCGTCATCGTACCCTCACATTCTTCGTTCTTCACATTATCAATCACTATTTTTCACATGCCGAAATGATAAAGCTGAGTGAAGCTAAAAAACCAAGAAAAAGACCCAAAATGCATACAGGTCAGGACATTGACACGTGGCACTTTGCAATATCTTCCGGCTCCAGTGAGGAAGGATAAAGGGCGGAGCCAGGAAGACTGATATCGACATGGCCCTTGCTATATAGCCGTGTACACGCTCGACAGTCATCGTGAAACATGCTTTCAAGGCATGTCAGCTTTGTCCTCATCAAACACCACGTTTATATAAGCTGTAAAACGCACTGAAAGGACGAGGTTACTTTATTTGATATTTTTACGCGAATGCTACATATTGTTATGTATGTTTCATAACAGAATAATCAATAGCAATATATAACGTGCGTCTCGTGACGAGGTGGCTTTAAAGGTCAAGGTGACTGCTTTGAAGAAACATGACACCTGCAGATTACATGCAATACTGACATCACTAATGCGAAGAGGGAAATTGATAACTTCCGATAAATATATAGTATTTTGAAATGAAAAACATAAATTTCATCAACAATATTTTAAAGCAATGATAGTGGGAACATTTCGTAACTGTCAAGATGTGAAATGGACTATGGAGTCTGTTTTACAGATCAACAATAGTTTGTTTGTTAGTTATTTAACGCCGCATTCAGCAGTATTCCAGCTATATGATAGCGGCCTGTAAATAATCAAGTCTGGACCAGACAATCCACTAATGGACATCATGAGCATCGATCCACGCAATTGGGACACGATGACATGCATCAACCAAGTCAGCGGTCCTGACAACCCGATCCCGTTAGTCGCCTCTTACGACTAGCATAGTCGCCTTTTATGGCAAGCATGGGTTGCTGAAGACCTATTCTATCCCGGACATTCACGGGTCTATGGAATACTAGATAAAGGGGGTATACTATATAAATATAATGCCCTAGTCGATAAGTTTGGTGCAGTAACACCAGTGCTAAGTCGGTATAAGATCAAAGCTGCCCAACAATTATCTACTGGTACCTACTTCAACCGATCACACAGCAAAAGAACGACCCGTCAAGGTCTAGCGCTGTCTTCTTCTGTTGGAGATTTAACGGGCGCTTCGGGTGCCCCCGATTTCGCACTCGGGGCATATACATGTAAGTGTGGGTGTGGTTGTGTTCAGTGGGGTTGATATATCCTACTGTTTAAGTTGGTTTTTATTAGATGGTTGCCTCGGTCGTAGTAGTTTTGTTTGCTGGGGAGTTGTAGGATTGTGGTAATAGTAGTGCCTATTTTACCTGGGAGGTGGTTGCGGTGTATTTTAAAGTGTTCACATTGAAATATCACGTATACATACACTGGGTAGCACTGAGCTGTTTAACCGTGGCGCGCGGACCTCGCAGTAGACACCCACCGCTAGCTGTCTCAACTCGCGTGGTAGGGGGGTGGGGGTGGTGGGTGGTATGGGGTGTGTGTGTGTGTGTGTGTGTGTGTGTCACAATTGCGCTTTCTAAAGTAGTGAGAACATGAATAGCAAACTAACTATTAAAACATTATTGGAGATACAGATATCAAAATAAAGAGCTGATCATAAACTACCCACAGGTGCTGTTAAATATTTACGGCCGTGTATGTACAAATAGTAAAGTGGCAAACATGACTATATGTACATGAGACATATCTAGACTTACTAGATTATCCCCCCTACAGCGTCAAAGTTACTTAACTTTAAACTTGTGAATATGCCTGTACACACATGGGAGATAACATGTATCAAATAAACACATGATGAGAGTATACAATTTAAGTTCCAGAGAAAAAAAGTTACCGACAACAAATTCTCAAGACGACCGCCGACAGCTGGACAGTGATGGCGGGGGAGACGCTAAGACCACTGGAACGTGACGAACTGCGTTTTACGACCCGGTGACAAATTCAAAAAAGAACATACACGTTACATGAAGAATTTTTATCAACTCAGCATAATTGATGAATAACATTACGTCATCTGAACTATAGATTGATTTCAGTGAGGGTATCTATGGGCTGACATTTAATACGATTTTTCTTTATTTTCTTCCTCAGAATGATAATAGTGAGTGAGTTGGGTTTGACCCGTTGGATGCCGAGTTCTTTTTTCTGACGCACATTGTCCTAAGAACTGAAATGTGAAGGTTGTGCAAGAATTGCGCTCACGCGGCACTGGATCTATCTCCGGCTATAAAATTACACAGAGGTGTAGAATATTAAATTTTCTATCTGATGGTGTAAATTTTAACTGCAAATATTAAACCGGTTTAAAAAAAGACACTGCTTAGCGTTCTCCGAGAATATATTCTGCGTTGAAAAACAGCAAATTTCTCCGCTTTTTATCGTAATCTTTTTCTATTTGGCAGTTTTACGAAAACTGTGAGCGAAAAAATACTGCCTAATATCTGAACGACAAAAATGTATATCAAATGGATTTATATGCTTGTGTATAACGTTATACATTCAATACAAAAAATAGCTGACGAAATGACGAAAAATGATTTTCCTCTATGGACGTCAAAACACGACAGAAGCTACACGCGTACAACGAAGAAGGGGCATAACTCCGCTATGCTTCGCACTAGTTTATTCTTATTCAGGTCACATGGTGAGAATTTCATGTGGATGAGGGCAATTTATTATCGTTGTGTTTTGTTCACGAACAACCAAACTATTTTAATACAAATATCGGGGGCACGGGTGGCCCAATCGAACTAAGGTGCCGCGATTCGCTGTGCAGAGTGCGTCCCTTAGGCACGCCAGAAACCTGTGATTGTGGGTTCGAATCTCGGTTCGCCCCGATTATGTTTCAAGGTATGTCAGCACCATACCCATTCTCGTGGGTTTCACCGAAGTGGTAAACGTCTGAGACCTGCATCACTTGGGACTTCCCCCCCCCCCCCCCCCCCCCCCCCCCCCGATTAAGCTGACACGCCGTGATAATAACTGGAATATTGTTAAAAGAGGCGTTAAACTCAACTCACACACTCACTTATACAAATATCGATATTGAAACTCTATACATTTAGGTATGAAAATAAATCCATAAGAAATGATAAAATATACTTCATAACACAGGAAAATGATAGCGAATGGGTGGCCCTATCTAACCTATAAATTAATCCTTAGATTCCAACATTCTCTTGGTTGTGCAAGTGTACTTTGGCTAATGTTGCACCATTATTAATGGAGCAGTAGCCTTATCATCAAATGTAATGACTTACTAAAAATGACGTCATGGCTAGTTTTATGACTTTGATAACGTCGGAGAAAGACGACATTGGTATTTTGATTAATATATATCTCCCTTAATTTTCTTTCATGGCATGGAAAAATGTTTTTTCGACACAACATAAAATGACTGTTTTTACCATGTAAATAATTTCTTGAATAGATAAACAATTACATAGTTTACCGTGTCTCTTAATTGAACAAGACGCGCACCTGTTTGACGTCAATGTTACGTAATGAAATATGTATAGCAGACTGGTATGTTTTCAAGACCATTCAACAAGTCTACCAAAAGAAGTTTGTTTTGCGAGACAATTTGCACAGATCTTATATACCTGTGTATAGAAATTTGTGATACAAAAATGCACCCCGCAATTTTAATTTACATTTCCCTAAAAACTAATATAAGAAATTTATCTGGATCTGGTTATGTGGATGTAAATGTATTTTTGTTATGACTAAAGTGTGGCTTAAACCAAATATTATAATATTCGCCTCATTGTGAAAACAGGTCATGTCGACTGCTTGTACACACAGGGTTGTAACTAGTTAATACAGTCAAACGTTTAACTCGCCAAGTAAAGATAAAATGCCCCTCATATTTTAAAACAATGGAGAATTGGGGAATTTTAAACCAGCCCCAGGCTAGCGGGCTAGTTTTCTAACTCGCATGTTTTCGTCATATTTATCGAGCGCGTCCAATGACCCAGTTTCGGTGAACTCGTTTTGTAAAGTTTCGTTGTAAGTGATCTTACGATCATACAAGGAATCACATACTTGTTTCTGAACAGCTGATGCGACAACAATATTAATTTCCTTCCCTTTCTAAAAGCCTCGCGGGCTAATATATAGTATACATAACACGAAATGTACTGTGATTTTATAACAGCTCTGTTTTGAAGGTCACTATCTAGCCAATGAAACAAGCCATGGCAAACCACGTGATCCTTATATAACACTGTCAGTCGGTGTTTTGTAACAGCGCCTGTACGCCTGGTAGGCAAACACTCTCAGGAACAGAACATGGTGGATTTAGCGAGACAAGCTTTCAGTACGAACAATTTTGGACTAGCTGCTGAAATATTTGAGAGAACAATCAAGGAAAATGGTCCTAAAATGGACTTATATCTCGGCCTAGCTGACAGCTTCGCCAGAGGAGGCCAGTTTCAGAAAGCATTTGAAGCATACTCACACGCATTTCGATTTGGAAAAGTGAAGCCCGAAAAGTTAAAACATTTGGTGACAGGGCTGATTGAAAGTGTGAAACAGGATACAGCGAATGAGAATATGAACAAAAAGTGTATGTTCACGTGTTGGGTTTGTAGAAGCTTACTGTCTGACCCTGTGACGATACCCTGTGGTCATACATTTTGCCGAAAGTGTTTAATGAAAGATTCTTCAAAGGCGTGTCGGATATGTGGAGTTGTGCATTATACACTGAAGGTGGCCAATCTGAAGTCGAATATACTTTTGACCCATGTGATAGAAAAGTGGTTTGTTGATGAGTGTGAGGCAAATAGGTTGAAATCGAAGGGCAATACTTACTTCGAATTGAGGGATTTTCCAAACGCTATTATTTATTACAGTAAAGCAATTGAACTTGGTAAGTATATATGATCAATCTAGTTACATTCTTCATTCACGTTTTCTTAGACTAATGTGTGTCTTATGTAAAAGATTGCAACCGGAAGTGCGCGAATCGCCGCCATTTTTATTTGTTTGTATAATGTCGTGTGGGGGAAAAAACAGCTATTTTCAATTCAAAGTTGTAATAAAATACTGATTGAGGTTATGAAAAGTTATAACAAAATATGTGAGTGTATTTTTTTAATTCAAGTCACGTGTAACTCTCTCGGAGGAATTTATTCATTTGTCAATCTCTTCACCTGTGCAAGTAGGCTTTGTTATGCCTAAGCTTGGATCGACCAATCAAATCAACGCTAACTGACATTGACCCCGTTATCTAATCATCACGTGTACATTTCACGTTGTTAGTTTTCGCGGTCAATGTCAATATTGGTTCCGAAAATAATATAAAACGATATATTTCTTTAAAAGAAATTCGGTATTTCAATGATAGAAACTTAACACTTTTAGTCCTCTAGCCTAGTCACTATAAGATAATCCTTATAGATTCTAATGATATCATAGAGCAAATTCCTTAAAAATGGCAAATTTCTACTAGTCCTAATTAGTGATACCTATAACTTTATATATTGGGCAGTTTGGTAAGGGACTGGTGCAAAATTATTATGCTGTATTTATTTCTCAAATCGTTGATTGTGACAGCTGTCAACCTTGAAAGAAAAACTTTCTCTTCCTTCAAAAATGTAAATTAAAATAAGCAGAAATGAAAACATAGGAAAAGACTAACAATGGGCATCCTTATACCTGTTGTGTACATGAATGAAAAAATATTGGTTACACAATTAAAAATGAAATAACCCAATTAAAATAGAAACCCTTGAGTAAAAACTCAATTGCTCAAAAGTTATCTGGAGCTCTGAAATCTTCAGCCACCCATGCTTGACGTAAAAGGGGATTCTCCTTGTCGTAAGAGGCGACTAACAGGATCGGATGGTCAGACTCGCTGACTTGGTTGTTGCATGACATTGATCCTAATTGCGTGGATCGATGCTCATGATGTCAATCACAAGATTATCTGGTCCAGACTCGATTATTTAAAGTTTCTATTTGATATTTGTAGGGGTCTGACCCTAGTTAGTCTCAAAGAATTGCCTTAATGTAGGACAAAGCCCAACATGTACATTCCGATGTATACACTATTAACATGATTAAGTAAGTATAAGATACATGGATGAACAACTTCTTTATTACAATTAGGAGCGACGTTTCGGTGTAGGTTCTAACACCGTTATCAAGCAAGTGAAATGTCGCTCCTAATTGTAATAAAGAAATTGTTCATCCATATATCTTATCCTTACTTAGTACTCCAACTTCTAAATGGCTCTCAAAGAAGTATACACTATTGTAATTATAGAGCAGGGAGCACAGCATTCATCCGGTCAGACAATATATGTATCTAATAAAGAACAAGAATTGTCAACATTGGAAACGTGTCCTGTAAAAACACAATCCTTATTTCAACAGTGAATGAGTCACATTGTCCCAACAGTCTTGTTCTCCAAAGCTATAAGAGACACCAACTCAAAACATTAGTTTTCAAATAACTTACTTTTTCACCAGGAATATATCAGTTGGAGCATGTCAGTTATATTGTTTGAAAATCAGGTTTGTTTGTGATTGGGCAATATCATGAGTGAATGTGCACACTTTTCTATTGTTATCAATCGATATAGCTCTAGGGGGCACAGGTGGCCCAGTGGTCTAAGCTGCCTCAATTTGCTGTGCAGAGTTGCATCCCTTGGGCATGCCAGAAACCTGTGATTGTGGGTTCGAATCCCAGGACGCCCCAATTATGTTTCTAGGTTTGTCAGCACCATACTCGTGCTCGTGGGTTCATCGATTGTCTGTATGTAATCGAGTCTGGACCAGACAATCCTGTGATTGACAACCTGAGCATCGATCCACACAATTGGGATCGATGACATGCATCAACCATGTCAGCGCTCCTTACCACCCAATCCCGTTAGTCGCCTCTTGCGACAAGCGTAGTCGCCTTTTATGACAAGTATGGGTTGCTGAAGACCTATTCTTCAAGGGCCTTGGCTTTCGTATCCTGACACTCTTAAAACGTGTGTTGTAATACAGGTAAAGGGACAATTAACCGAAAACAATCATGCTTGTGACATGTTAAATGACGCTAGTTATTACTGGAGATGATTATACCAAACATCTGTCATCTCACAGGTGTAAATGTCATCTGAGCTGACAACTCGTGATGTGCGCCATGTTTTAGTTGTGCATGTATTTACAATGGCAATGCAGCACGCGTCAGGGGAGCGTTGTTGACAAAACACGACTTCTCACGAACACCGGTGATAAAATTCCGTATTTTCATTCGCGTAATTACGAAACGGAGCTAGCCCAAATATCTTTGTCAAAAGTCAGTTTGTTTTAGCCGTTTCAAAAAAATATTTACTTACCCTACCTACATTTTACTCCCGATCGTACCTAATTTTACTCAGATTTATTTTAAAAAATAAGACAATCCCGCGATACTACCTTGATGTTTTTCATCATTTTGTTCAGTGCTGACAAAATGATTTCAAGGTTGATTGTATATCTGACATGTTGGTGAAAAATGTTTCTTTTATTTTTCCACGTAACCAAACATATTTCTTGATAGGCCTTATTTCTAATATGATTTTTTTATGTCGTTTGGTCTTAAAAAATATATGTGGCCTAAGAACAGTTGATCTATCTGTGCAATGTTCATGGTCTGGAGACTTGTGGCACACTTCACTTTTTTAATCCAAAGAATCTTAATGACGTCACAGTATTACACATTGAAATGCAATATTCTTCATGGGAGCAGTGTTGATGAAACATATATATGGTCATTTTTTAATGTGTTTTTTTTTTAAAACAAAAACATTTTAGGATTGAAGTTAAGGTTTTGTGTATAAGATGTTTAATGATGTTTAAATTAGTATAAGTTAATTATTGTTATTTATAAGTAATTTCTAACATGCTAATTTCAGTTTCAGAATTTGTTAATATGGCAAAATATCAAAAGATAATTAATTGGGTTTATTTTAAAAAAACCTGTTTTTCTACATGTTTTTCACAATTTCTTACAAGCAGCGGTGATAAAATGTCATATTTTCATTTTGCCTAATTGCAAATCAGAGTTGCCCCAAAGTTCTTTATGAGAAGTCTGTTTATCATGTTTATGTGATTTTAAAGTTCAGGGTTTTTCTGTTGTTTGGTCTTGTAAACCAGCTAAAAATGTAAGGCCAGAGAACATGTAGAACATGTAGAAAGGTTGATCTATCTGCTTGACGTTCATGGGCTGGTGATGTATGACATGCTGCACTTGACTCAACAGAATATTAATGATGTCATGATACTATTCATGCTTTTAAGCCTTGCACCAAGTATTGATGGGGATTTCCTTCGAGCCAAGAAATTTGGACACTGACACTGACACTGCACATAAGCATTGATAAGATAAATAATTTGCTTTCTCATGGGTCTGATTGCTGTTGATGATTGTCTCCCTTTGTCCATTTCAGTTCCAAAGGACCATTTACTGCTGAGCAACCGTTGCTATGCCTACTTCCTATTGGACGATGCTGCTGAGGCCTTGCAGGATGCAGATAATGTCATCCGACTCAGGCCGGACTGGCCCAAGGTGAATATCCATCCTAAAGTTAGGATATTAACGAAAAGACTGTCTCCGTGGTCTGGTGGTAGAGCGTCCGTCCGGAGAGCGGAAGGTCCGGGGTTCGATCTCCGGCCACATCATACCAAAAGACGTTAAAAGATGGTACTTGTTGTTACCCTGTCTGGCGCTTGGCATTAAGGGGCTAAAACAAGGACTGGTCGGCTCGGAGTCAGTATTCTGTTCCTGAGTAGGGTATTCATGTTAAACTGCGGCATGGTATCTCAGTGAGCTAGCACTATAAATCGGCATCAGTCCGGACTAGTACAAGCAGCCACACACACCCACACACGTACATGCACGTCGCTTTATAAGTGCAATAAACATGATACATACATGATATAACGAATAATTTTGATATGCGAAAACAGGTTAGTTCACCCTGTCAGTCAACGATAATGGCGATAACAGTTTCCTCTGATCCCATAAGTTTGGGTCCATCGTCAAACATTATGTAAGCCATAACTAAGCCATGTGTTTGTCTAGGTCACATTCCACTTGTGCTGAATATATTCATATTCACCATTGGCTGCATATGATAAGTTTTCATTGTCACAAGGTATTAAAAAGATAGTGTTTGTATGCACCCAGAACCCTTCTTGACCCTGTTAGCTGTGCCATTGGCACTCCATTCAGTGAGCTCCATGAAGATCCGGGTCGATGCTCATAACGTCAATCACTGGATTGTCTGGTCCAGACTCGATTATTTACAGACCGCCGTCATATAGCTGGAATATTGCTGAGTGCGGCGTTAAACAACAAACAAACAAACAAACATGAAGATCCGGGTTAGAACAGGTCTTCAGCAACCCATGCTTGCCATAAGAGCCGACTATGCTTGTTGTTAGAGGTGACTAACAGGATCGGGTGGTCAGGCTCGCTGACTTGGTTGATACATGTCATATATCCCAATTGCATGGATCGATGCTCATGATGTCAATCAGTGGATTGTCTGGTCCAGACTCGATTATTTACAGACTGCTGTCATATAGCTGGAATATTGCTGAGTGCGGCTTTAAACAACAAACAAAAACAAACCATTCAATGAATGAAATTCGAACCATGAAACATAGTGACGTATATAGTGGCAATTTCTCTTTCATAATGACACTGATCATTATTGCAATGAATACTATTTACAGACTTTGTAATTGCCTTTCAGGGGTATTTTCGTCGAGGTTGTGCTTTGTATGGATTAAAACGGTATGAAGATGCTGTGGTGTCCTTCCTTCAGTGCCTGGCCTTAGATACAACAGTTGCCTCTGCCAAAGACTATCTATGCAAGGTAGGGTTGTGTTTAGTTCTACCATGGTTACAGATGAAGTAATACGTGGTCCATGTCTTGTAAATATTGGACTCCTCAAATTCGTCAATATTGTATTCAGATGCTCTTACTTTGTTAGCATGACTAGTGTATAGAAGCCATTTATATTATGTTTTTCTCAAATTACTGTTCTGATTTGTTTGGGCCATATTGATTTTTGTGGGCTCTAGGAATGTGCTTCACATGTAGGAAAGTGGACCTTTGCTTTTTCTCCTTTGATGAAAGAAAACACCCAGTGAATGATCTCTGAAAACAAACTTCACTTATTGTTAATTGCGCTGCCCCCATTGTCATTTTTCTAAGCACCATTATTATTACATCTGCTAATATTATTTATCTCAAAAATACTTTGAAATAAGGAAGAGAATAAATGGATGTCAACTTTATTATGACGAACACGTTTCGGAGTATAAGCTTACTCCTTCATCAGGTGAATGAATGGCTTGAGAAGGAGTAAGCATATACTCCGAAACGCTGTGTTCCTCATAATAAAGAAGTTGACATCCATATATTCCCTTCCTTATGTGAATCACTTCTAAATGCCTTTCAAAGAACTTTTGAAATACTATTTAAACAAACTTTGTCATGATATTACAACATTAAACTGCTAAACATGCTAAAATATCGAAATGGATACACATTCAACTTATTATTTTATAGCGATATTTTTGATATTTCAAAACTGAGGGTACTAACCATTACACTTTTGTTATAATAATTATGCTTTTCAGCCTAAAATATGCAATCCTCTCTAATTTATGTTTTTGACATTTTTCATGCATAAAATATCCCAAAGATCAAATTGTTAATGCCCCAGTCACATGATGCATTCTACAGGGAGCTAACTGCATGTACACCGATATTTCTCCGGAACTCAAAACACCACATTGTCTTTCTGCAATACAGTTATAATGATTGTCACATGATGAATTTTTTCGCTGAATGATGAATTTTTCAGCTAATGATGCTGTTTTGTGGGGCTATATTACAAGCATCAATGCATGTGTACATGTTCTTCACATATTCTAGGCTTAAGGAAAATGTTGAAGCAAAAACAGGCATCATGGTAATATTAATATTACGTTTTTTTCACCCCACTGATTACTCTGAAGCAATTTGAGTTGTGTCTCTGAGGGTAAATCTACACGCTCATCCTTAACACATGGAGAGGAAATAATCTGTGTTAGGCATTTTATTTTTTGTTTTTATTTCACCCATGTCATAATTTGAAATTTCTATTGCTACAGATCTTGCACAGGATTTTGTCACATCTGCCACCAGATGACCCAAAGAGCCTTGTGCGTCAACAGTACGTGAATCCAAGTGTTCTACAAAACCTAATATCCAGCAACTTCAACACAGCACAGCTCTTCCCCAACCTCAACGTATCCACCATACATCACCTCCGGAGCATCATCAGTGAAACCATCACAACAGCCGAGAACTTCAGCGTGGCGTCTGAACCTTCACCTTCAGCTGCACAGGTACAGGACTTCTTGACCTCTTGATCTCAGTTATAGGAGCGATAGGGAACTGTAAGCAGTCCTTCCACATCTCCCGAGGCAAGAGAGTTAACTGACTTTAAAAGTCCAGTTTCAACCCTTGCCGAACTTGGCTGGAATTCCCGGACTCCATCATAGCGCCACCAATGGTTATCACTGTTAGTCCCTTCTAAACCTCCCCTATGGACCAATCAGATTCCACCTCGCTTATCATTTGGGTGGAAACTGGACTTTATAGTGAGTTACCTCCCTTGCCTCGGGAAGATGTCCTTCCAGGGCCCAGTTGCACAAAGTGATCTTAGCACTAGGAGTATTGTAAGCCTAGGTTAAAGTATGGGAGTTTTGATCACCTTAAAGGTAAGATCGCTTTGTGCAATGGGGCCCTGGCGAATAGACTGTTGAGATGAAACACAATATCCAGAGATAGATAGGGACTCAACATTTGATCTTCATATGTGAAGGGTCCTGGGATATTTATCGAGACTAGATATTTTTCATTACAGCCACTTTTAAGAAATGCCTATTGAACAATTCATCCAAACAATAGTCATTCATGCTAATGGGGTATATTAATTACTAATTATTTTTGCAAATTACTATCTTTACCATGCTTATCCGCGATATTCTGCTTGCCTCAGTGTGTGCTTGTCACCTCCTGTATTAGAACATGCCTTGTCTTCCCCAGGCTGACTGCTGTGACGGGGACGGTCCCTATGACTTCACTACGGGTAGAGAAGTGACTCACACAGTGATGCGATGTAAGTAGTCTCATGTCAAACGTCCCCTGTCAAACTTCCCCTGTGGAGGTTTTCATAACACAAGTCAATGAGAAATCTGAAATTGTGCTTGTGATGAATCTTTCCAATGATTGTGGCCTCACTTACATTTCATAGTGAAAGCTTTTTGGCATTTTGAAAAACAGGCAAACACATTTTTTAATCTTTTGAGTAAATTGAGCAAGTAGCTTTCTTGAGACAAGGTTTTCGCATAGGTTACTGTCTACTCGTGAGTGATTTAAAAGTTGCATATTTGCTTGTGTAATTGATTTATGCTTTAAGACCAATGAAGATCCGGGGTAGAATAGGTCTTCAGCAACCCATGCTTGCCGTAAAAGACGACTATGCTTGTCGTAAAAGGCGACTAATGGGATCGGGTGGTCAGGCTCGCTGACTTGGTTGATGCATGTCATCGGTCCCAATTGCGTGCATTGATGCTAATGATGTCAATCACTGGATTGTCTGGTCCAGATTTGATTATTTACAGACTGCCGTCATATAGCTGGAATATTGCTGATTGGGCGTAAAACAACAAACAAATAAACAAAGTTATGCTTTAACAGAAACAACTAATCCAAATTGAATTGTCTATTCCTACTTGTTAAGAATGGCAAGTTTCAGTGATAAGCCGTAAAATCACATCAGTAATTTTCAGTTGTGTCAGGGTCTCCATATTCCTTGTATTACAATGTCAAAGAAACAATTTGAATTGTAACACAGTTAAATAAATTTCTGTTGCATGAGCAGTCTATTTAGAAATCACATTATAAACAGAAATAGTGATGATGTATGTTATATTGAACACTGATAAGTATTCTTTAGGATGTAGTCTAGTCAAACATGTGAAATGAACACAATAACATGTTTAATACACAAAAATAAAATAAAGATATAAACCCCTTATTTTTGATAATTGAATAGGATGTTTTCAACCTCAATGACAAGGAATCTGGCAAACATTCTAAAAATTACAAGTGTTATTGTCTGACTCATTGTGACATGATAATCACAGTGTTTTAAGATTGATAATTAGGATTTTTCTTGTTGGCATTGTTAATTCCAAATGGCACACATAAACATCTTTGTGAGTGCACTGTGGGACACATGTTGGGACAAGATACATTTCTATGTCTGTTTTGTTCTTGCAGGTCGTTCCGCTCCATCCTCCCGGGGCTCATCCCCACTGGCGATGCGAGACTTGAGCATCCAGTCTGTGGCCAATGGCAGCCTTCCAGATGTATCCATGACAACATGCTCAAGGAAACGGTCTCGCAATGTGTCTGGGCAGTGTCCATCGAGTCCTACACGGTCCTCCGAGCTCAAGTATATGAGTAAGTAATTACCTGATGTAATGTATCTTTCCGAGGCAAGAGCAACCACTAGCCTTTTTATCAAAGCCACATCAAGCCCACTTTCCTGTGCTAAATATGATTGGACTAGCGCACATATCGATAGTCTAATCAGAGAACGTTTCACAAAACCAACGTCCACGACTGGTACACCTTCGTATGAAAGTGAATAACAATTGCCTGTCATTGTTGACACGAATATGTCTTTTTCATATTTTAAACGCCCCAAGGATTGTCTATGTTTTTGTGTCAGGGATGAAATTGCGAATGTTTCCGTTATCTGATCGACAAGGTGGTCGTCTGTGGTAGTCGCCGTCTTTGTGAAGCTACTCGTGATCTACGAGCCAAGAAAAGTGGCCTTGATGTGACAAGGGTAGAAACTAGGCTTTGATATAGGCTAGTGGACACGCCTCGAGAAGATGGAAATGCAGCGGTAGAAACTAACAGTTTCAGTCCACTAGTCCTTATAATGATAACATATAGCAAAACCCTTAAAAATGGCAAATTTCTACTAGTCCTTATACCTTTACTATTGGGCAGTTTGGCCAGGACTACAGGACTAGTGCCTATTCCTAACCCTGTTATGTGGTACTCGTAGACTAGGTCATCAGTACTGCATGCTTGTCATTGTATGGTGTGAGTGGTAATAAGGGTATGCCTGGGCTGATAGAGTGTCAGTGTACTCTGTCACGTGAAGATCCAGGTAGAATAGGTCTTCAGCAACCCTTTGCCATATGAGGTGACTAAGTTTGTCGTAAGAGGCGGGTGGTCAGGCTCACTGACTTGGTTGATGCATGTCATTGATCCCAACTGCGTGGATCGATGCTCTTGATGTCAGTCTCTGGATTGTCTGGTCCAGACTCGATGATTTACAGACCGCCGTCATATAGCTGGAATATTGCTGAGTGTTGTTAAACAACAACAAACAAAGAAATAAGGAATTCTTCAACTTGAAAAGTAACATTCATATCACTTTGCAGGACCGGACACCCTACCAACTGCTTCCAGCTACAGCGATGCTAAGAACATCCCCCAAGAACTGCTGACTGTGGATGACTTTGAGTGTGGCTTGTGCTACCGGCTGTTCTATGTGCCGGTCACCACGCCATGCGGCCACGTGTTCTGTCGCCAGTGTCTTGAGCGATGCCTAGATCACACCACCAACTGCCCTCTGTGTAAAAGTTCTCTAGTTGAGGTACGAGAGCTCATTTATTACGTTACTAGAGAATCCATACAGAAACGCCTCTTTGCCACAGCGTAAAAGTAAGATTAATCTAGAAGAGTAAAAAATCTCTGCTTTCAGATTGGACCATAGGTAGGGTAGGCTACACTCTCTTCATTTGTCACTGTAATTTCTGTCCATACAAGAATGCATGAGGTGGCAGTCAACATTGTGATTAAAATCGTTGTTGCTATCTATTTTCAATAGCATCTGCCCATTTCACCAAACAGTGTTTTAGGTCCACACTTTGCAAATATTGCAATCAGTCACTTGAAGTGTATTTTCCAAAGATTGACAGTAGCTGTATGTTACCATGGTTACAGTACCTGGCAGAGAGGAGACAGGCTGTGACGGAATCGGTGCAAGCCATCCTGGAAACATACTTTGCCCAGGAGTACGAGGAAAGAAAAAAAACACATGAGGAGGAGATGCTTGAGCTCACAAGGCAAGTCCATAATATGAGATTAGTGGCAGGGTGTGACTGTTGTCCTGCACTGTGAGTAGGCGTGTACAATATACATATATACTGCAGTACGTCCGTCAACCATACATATAACACAATACAACCCTTGCTTATTGATTTTTTTCAAACAGTCTCAGAAGAATTAGCAATATCACAGCTGGAGGACAACACAATTGTGCTTCACACATTTTACCTATGTGGGGAATCGAACCCAGACCTTCAGCGTGATGAGCGAACACTTTAACTACTAGGCTTCCCATTGCCTCGTGCACTGTGATCAGCACAGGGTTGACCTAGGCATTTGCAGAAGCCTGCTCAAAGGTCTGCTGAAAATGTATCTAAAGATTCCCATTCAGATTATGTGATTAATAGTAATGTGTTGGTTTTGCAAATGTGTTATTTCAGTTATAACAAGGACAGTAAACTAATGTGGAGGAAATATCAGTGCTAAATTACATTTCAGCTAAATAAGGCTAAGGAAATAATAGTCTTGGTCCTCAGGCACTTCCTGCATCATCATAATGTTGGCGGCATGTTTTTTTCTTATTTCCGTTTTAAATTTTTTTAAAAAATATCCCTTAATATTCTGCGTCTTGAACATACGACCCCAGCAGTTAAATGCTACAATGCTTAAAACTATGCGTTCCAATCCAGCGTGCAGCTGCTTCCCTTTACTTGCACACTGCTTATTGCACATCTCGTTATGGTCATGGCGGCAATAGGAGGTTGTGTGTTTGTTTTGCCGTTTGCACATTTTGGCAATGAAAACATGAAATTTACGATAACACATGATGATTTAGAAATTCAATGGTATTTGTGTACTGTATGCCGAGCAATATTTCATACACAGAGATTTAATTACATGTGTATTTGTCGCGTACAACAGAGACCATATAGCAATCAGCTGTTCACACATTTTCTCCCCTATCTATGGGTGATTTATTTTAAAAATTACTTCAATATCATAACTGAAAAGAAATTTGAATACAGTTATTGGAAGGCCAAAGACCTTGTATCTCTAATGACTAATGTTTGTTTCAAGGCGAGTTCATGGTGATTTGATGTGATTTGCCAATCAGTACAAACATTTTCGCCAAAATTAATGTGAACAAAAATGAATGAAATTTTGGAAAAAAGTAATATAATGGATTACAAGTGTAAGTCCAGATACACAATGAACACTTTTATAGCCAGATAGTGTCATAACATGGTTAACTTCTTTGCATTGTGAAATAAGATAAAGGCTTGTATGCGTGTATTATGCAGACACTGGTAGTCCAACTGTATTCAAATACTGTATTTCAGTATTATAGTTTTACTCACCGAGGAATACATTTATGCTGGGAAACCCTTTCCCAGGTTGATTCTTCAGAACTGTTTATTTGTTAAAGACTAGTTTGAACAACCCCCAAAAAGTAAACAAAAAATTACACCCACCTGCACCCTTTTTTCAAAAATTCAAAAGCCATTGCCTGGGAACTAATTCTTATATTTTTTTAAAGCATAAAATGCGTGAATTCTACATTTTGTTGCGTGAATTCTACATTTTGGGACAAAATAATGCTTTTCTCTGTCACAGACACTCTTTTATAAATCCCAGAAGCATTATTTTACCAGAGCTTAAAGTAATTGTGTCTTTACCAGACAAACCAGTGTTTTATATGTTTTGAATTGTCAATAGACATGATAGACAATGATAGATAAATGTTTGTTGGAGAAATTTTCCAAATTTCCATTGTAACTTAACAATTATTGATTATACATGAATATATACATGTAAGTAAATTGCAAGCACTTCCGTTGCATTTGATTGGCTAACCAAGTAATATTTGTTTGTGTCTGTTTCTAAACAGAAAAAATAATGAGAGTACTCCCACTTAGAAACTACCATTTTCTGATTGGCTGATAATAGAATGGGTGGGGCTGCTGTTCCATTATTGCGCTGAACAAAATCACTGGTTTCAGACTGTTGTAGGTGGAAATCATTTAATAAGCAGTCTGTGTAATTATTGTTGACTATTTATTTATAAGAATAGACTAAAATCTGGTGTATACAAACTTGTATAGATATAAACGTAAAAACGTGTGTGTACACTTTGCCTATATCGGCTACACGGATTTCATAGTTTGCAGACCGTTTGCATATCGCAAAATATATTGAAAGAATGGTCAATTCTTAATAAATATATATTTTGTAACTTATCCTGCATTAATACCTTAGGGTAGTAATGCAGGATAAGTATCCAAATGTAAAAAATATTTAGATTTTACAAAATTTGTATGAAAAACTACTTATGTATTAATAATATTGATAGTATTCTGCTTGTTTTCATCTACGGTGCTCTCTTGTGTCTGCCTCCTCTTGTTCCATGTATCTGTCCTATGTGAAATCTGACTCTGTCTAATCTAGTCATGTTGTTTTTGTCCAGGATGGGAAGCGATGAAAAGCACGAGATTCCTGTGTTTGTGTGCACACTGTCCTTTCCCACAATCCCCTGCCCTCTCCACATCTTCGAGCCACGGTACCGTCTGATGATCCGACAGTGCATGGAGTCAGGCACGAGGCAGTTCGGCATGTGTGTGGCTCTGGGAGATGACGAGTAAGTTTTAAAAAGGGGATATTGTCAGCTACGGTGTTAACCACAGGGATTTACATGGATCTGTCCAGGGGAGTCTAAGCAGTGCATTGTGGGAGTCCATAGTCATGAATAGGGAGGTCCCGGGTCGGGATCTGTGACACGTATCATTTGATTCCGTTTATCACTTCACATGCTCAGAAGCCGTAAGACTGTTATAGATGGGGATGTAATTGTTGAGATTGAAGAAACTCTGTCATTGACAGACTGATCTTTTAGTATATTTCTCGCCTGAATAGAAATATTGGTTCTAGGAAACATGCAAGCTCCAATTTTTATATAGATTTAATGGTTCAGACTGCCATGCATTTTCCCATTCCACAGGATAAATGTGAACTCTTTGCGTCAATTCTAAATTTGTAAATCTGAGATAACCACAGTCGTGTAGCTTGTTATGCCTGATGCAGATAGCTCAGCTAGTGATAGTAGTAAAATCTACTGGACATGATGCAGAGTTAGGGCTGGTTGGGACACAAGTGTTTGGCATAGACTTCTTGTACCCCATGGGGGCTGGGTTAGAAAACCAGGACATCGGATTGTTGTCAAAAGTTTGCTTGGTGACTTGGTTAATTATGTGTCATTGTAACAAGGTGAGGTGAGGTGAAATGGGGTTTAATGTCCCGTCCAAGGTGAAGTGAGGTGAAATGGGGTTTAATGTCCCGTCCAAGTTGAGGTGAGGTGAAATAGGGTTAAATGTCCCGTCCGAGGTGAGGTGATATGGGGTTTCATGTCCCGTCTAAGGTGAGGTGAGGTGAAATGGGGTTGATGGTCCAGTCCAAGGTGTGGTGAGGTGAAATGGGGTTAATGGTCCAGTCCAAGGTGAGGTGAGGTGAAATGGGGTTTAATGCCCCGTCCAAGGTGAGGTGAGGTGAAATTGGGTTTATGGTCCAGTCCAAGGTGTGGTGAGGTGAAATGGGGTTTAATGTCCTGTCCAAGGTGAGGTGAGGTGAAATGGGGTTAATGGTCCAGTCCAGTGTGAGGTGAGGTGAAATGGGGTTTAATGTCCAGTCCAAGGTGAGGTGAGGTGAAATGGGATTTAAGGTCCCGTACAAGGTGAGGTGAGATGAAAGGGGGTTTAAGGTCCAGTCCATGGTGAGGTGAGGTGAAATGGGGTTAAATGTCGCGTCCAAGGTGAGGTGAGGTGAATTGGGTTTAATGTCCTGTCCAAGGTGAGGTGAGGTGAAATGGGGTAAAACGTCGCGTCCAAAGTGAGGTGATGTGACATGGGGTTTAAGGTCGCGTCCAAGGTGAGGTGAGGTGAAATTGGGTTTAACGCCCCGTCCAAGGTGAGGTGAGGTGAAATGGGGTTTAATGTCCCGTCCAAGGTGAGGTGATGTGCAATGGGGTTTAATGTCCCGTCCAAGGTGAGGTGAAATGGGGTTTAAGGTCCCGTCCAAGGTGAGGTGAGGTGAAATGGGGTTTAATGTCCCGTACAAGGTGAGGTGAGATGAAAGGGGGTTTAATGTCCCGTCGAAGGTGAGGTGAGGTGAAATAGGGTTAAAAGTCCCGTCCGAGGTGAGGTGATATGGGGTTTCATGTCCCGTCTAAGGTGAGGTGAGGTGAAATGGGGTTGATGGTCCAGTCCAAGGTGTGGTGAGGTGAAATGGGGTTAATGGTCCAGTCCAAGGTGAGGTGAGGTGAAATGGGGTTTAATGCCCCGTCCAAGGTGAGGTGAGGTGAAATTGGGTTTATGGTCCAGTCCAAGGTGTGGTGAGGTGAAATGGGGTTTAATGTCCTGTCCAAGGTGAGGTGAGGTGAAATGGGGTTAATGGTCCAGTCCAGTGTGAGGTGAGGTGAAATGGGGTTTAATGTCCAGTCCAAGGTGAGGTGAGGTGAAATGGGATTTAAGGTCCCGTACAAGGTGAGGTGAGATGAAAGGAGGTTTAAGGTCCAGTCCATGGTGAGGTGAGGTGAAATGGGGTTAAATGTCGCGTCCAAGGTGAGGTGAGGTGAATTGGGTTTAATGTCCTGTCCAAGGTGAGGTGAGGTGAAATGGGGTAAAACGTCGCGTCCAAAGTGAGGTGATGTGACATGGGGTTTAAGGTCGCGTCCAAGGTGAGGTGAGGTGAAATTGGGTTTAACGCCCCGTCCAAGGTGAGGTGAGGTGAAATGGGGTTTAATGTCCCGTCCAAGGTGAGGTGATGTGCAATGGGGTTTAATGTCCCGTCCAAGGTGAGGTGAAATGGGGTTTAAGGTCCCGTCCAAGGTGAGGTGAGGTGAAATGGGGTTTAATGTCCCGTACAAGGTGAGGTGAGATGAAAGGGGGTTTAATGTCCCGTCGAAGGTGAGGTGAGGTGAAATGGGGTTAAACGTCGCGTCCAAGGTGAGGTGATGTGAAATGGGGTTTAAGGTCGCGTCCAAGGTGAGGTAGGTGAAATGGGGTTTAAGGTAGCATCCAAGATTATTGCGCTTACATAGCAACCTTCTAAGATAACATGAATCCCCCACTCAGACACAGTATAGTGACTCCGAGCCGACCAGGCCTTGTTTTAGCCCCTTTATGGTGAGCACCAGACAGGGTAACAACAAGTACCATCTTTTAGCATCTTTTGATATGACGGGGTTGGGATCGCACCCCTGACCTTCCAGCCTCGGGGGGTCATCATAACAATCTACAGGCAGCTGGAATATTCCTGAATGTTCATCAGATTGATAGTCTTATGATTTTCTTCCAGGAACAACTTCTCTGATGTTGGCACGATGTTGGAGATTCGTGATGTTCAGTTTTTCCCTGATGGGCGTTCCCTGCTCGACACAATTGGAGGCCGAAGGTTCAAGGTGCTCGAACGTGGGCACCGAGATGGCTACAACACAGCCAAAGTGGAGTTCCTCTCCGATAGGAAGGTGGAAGGAGAGCAACTCACAGGTGGGTCTCACTCCCATTGCAAGCAAGCACCTGTCTCTGTATGAAGACCTTTCAGGAAGTCCCTTGCTGGACTAGGGGAATCAAACCATAGCTCCCTCACTCACCATGCTCACTCCACTATTATTATCAGTTTAGAATTCGCAGTTACCGTATTCAACGTCATGATCGCCCCGCTCTAATAAGCGCCCACGGCGATATTTGCTAATAAATTGGCTAGTGAACAATCCCAATTAGCACCCCTTCTGATTGATGAATGTACACAAGACTTATTGATTCTCTTTTAATACGCACTCGTGTGTTATATGCAGCCTTAAATATCGGCAATTAAATTCTGGAAAAATATATCTGTCGTATATAAACATTTCAGGCTGTCTGCATAAATTTATCCTTTAACTCTGGGTTTTTTTCCACCCAAATAATTTTCTAATAAGAGCCCCCTAGTTCTAATTTTGAGAGCGCCCTGGGTGCTTATTACGTCGAATACAGTATATATTTGAATCAAGGTCTTTTAACATTAGGTTTATCATGGACCGCTTGACCATTTGACATTCATTCTTCATCTCAAACACCGATTATCAATTTCTTTTTCTTACCAATGATAATGTTTTAGTAATTTCAAAAACTATTTTCACAATAGGACAAATGCAGTTGTGGTTACCCTAAATGTTTGATTTAAATAATAATCTGACAATCTACATGAAGGAAATAGAGATTGGAAGATAATACCAATGTTGTTGTTTTTTCAGAACTACAACAGCTGGAAGAAGAAATGTACACACTATCCAAGGGTTGGTTCGACGACCTCCCAAGTATGCACAAGCAGAGGATAGTCAAACACTTCGGAACCATCCCCCCCAAAGATCCTGACCCACAGGCTTCCCCGAATGGCCCTAGCTGGCACTGGTGGGTTGTGGCCGTCCTACCTCTCGACCCACGCGTCCAAATGGCATTGGTTTCCATGGTTTCATTCAGGGAACGTTTGCTTGCAATTAAGCGTGTTTTAACATACCTCAAGAAGAAAGTGGCAAATGACTGACTGGGGCACCTGGCAATGTTTCTTGAACATCCTTTGTATATTTTTGTATCATTATCTCTGATGCTCCTATCTATTGCAGTAGGGTTGTCTTAATTATTGCTATGACAACCTGCATATGACTCATGGTGAAATGTACGGAACAAATCTGCAGACAAATACAGTGATATATTTAGCATCATGGAAGTAGCCCGATTGGGCCAACGAGAAAGAAGTTTGTGTGATATTACAGAGATTGGTGCAGGACTTTTATGACTGCATAGTCAGAAGTAACTCAGGTACAACTGGATAGTCTACCTGAGAACGCTGATTGGGCAGAACAGTGGATTCTCTTCGTATGTGGTGAGAAGATACATTTACACACTCTTGCCTGTTCAGCGTCGTGCTTGAGAGGTGGAACTACTATGTGTCAACAGCCAACTGTTTGTGAATCGCTATACAGACTTTCATTCCGACAAATCAAAAACAAATGGAAGTCTGTAATTCACTTTTACTGAAGCACAAGAGACCTGTCACTCATTGTTTTGTTTTTTCGCTTTGTCATGTTTATATTGGAACGGAATATTCAGCTGTTATTATTGTTGATCTCAGCATGTATTTATTTAGTTATTCAACATCACTGCTGTAACTATGGTAACAAGAAATGTGACTTGCACAAAATCATGTATTTCTTTTCTCAAATCTCACTAAAAGCATCTTTCTCTAACATGTTGTAAAATTCTTCCATGGAAGATCGAGTCAGGTGAGCGCTGAGAATCTACATGAAGGATTTGGGGTTATTGTGCCGGTTAGATATCGGCTTCTTAGAATGATTCGGGTACATTTCTTTACCACATCGATTTGGAAATTTTTGATTTTAACAAAAGAAAATCAACACAGAACAAACATTTCTTTGATGGTACTCCCTTTTGAGTAAAACAAATCCACAACAATGTAATGACACTGCTTTTATTATTTACATTTGGCACTAGACATTTAAGTTCAGTTTCAATATGTAGAGGTCACATGCTACTTTGAATGCTTCACTCAGTGGTTCTGAGAAACTAGGAGCTTCAACGTTACACCACATCTTATATCAGGTCTTCAGGTGCGGATGTATGGTTGGGAGTATATGGACTGACTTATTTTAGATCGATACCTTTGTTCGCAGATTGACCACAAAGGCCATGTTTGTAATTTAATTCAAATACACTCAAACCCATCCCAACCCTTTACAGGTATATACATAAAACTTTACCAGGGCAGGATTAGATTTTAACGGAAGCTTTATTAGGCATGGAAATAGTCTTCCTCTATTTCTCTAGGGCTCGCATTTTGGTAAACCTACACAAATTACCAACCCTTGATTTTCAGTTACATTTTACCGACCAATCAAATGTCGACATAGGGGAAAGGGCAAGGGAGGTAACTTGTATTACCTAGAAACCAAAGCCACTGCCAGTTTTAATGGACATAAAGACATCATTTCCATCGCAAAGATGTTTTCGGGCTTTCTTTTGTGTGTCAGTCAGTTTTTAAATATTTCATTTCTCGCTGACTGTTATAATAAATGGGTCTGACCAACTCAACATTGAGGCTGTTTTGTAACTCTGAGTGCATTCTGATTGGTAGTTGACCTAGTAGCAAGGGCAGATATTTGAGATTGAGAGAACCACTGGAACGGATCAAGGGGTTAGTGTAGGTTTTACCGAAATATCCCAGCCCTGGAGATTTTGAGGATGGGAAATAGTCAGTTGGGGTGGAATGATCCATGATAAATACATACCGGGTACATTTTTGTATGTATGAAACAAATCATATTGATAACCGTATTCGACCTAATAAGTGCCCTGCTTTAATAAGCGCCCACAGCGATATTTGTTAATATACTGGCTTGTGAACAATCCTAATTAGCACCCCTTCCGACTGATAAATGTACACAAGGCTATTTATTCGTGCATAATATGTTTGTTATATGCACCCTTAATTATGGGCAATTAAATTCTGGAAAAATATATCTGTCGTTTATAAACATTTCATCATCAACCACGAAATTTACGCTCTTTGAACTCTTTTGTTTTTTCACCCAAATAATATTCTAATAAGAGCCCCCTATTTCTAATTTTGAGAGCGCCCTGGGTGCTTATTATGTCGAATACGGTTACTGTTGTTGTATTGTATTGAGACTTCATGTATCATGCCAGCTTGAGTTGACCCAGATGAACATTTGCCAGCATCACCTTGTTTTGTTGACTGGAAACTGGTACGGTGTGAACTGGTGTAACTTCATTTAAAGACAATGAAAGAATTGGAATAAGGTTTGAATTGATTGTGTTTTATGTGATATTAAACTAATCAACAGGGCTAGTGACCTTCTACATTCCACTAGCCCTTTAAAGCCTTTACTGGCTCGAAAGCATTATTTTCTAACGCTGGGGATTGAGGTTAAGACATGTAACGGGAATGAATAAAGATGCATTATGAAAGAATATGTCGGCTTCTCTCTTTTCTGCTGTTTAGTTTCTAGTTTGAGAGACTAAATCGTGCCAAATCACCAGGATAACCTGTGCTCGGTTTGGTCAAACATCTTGTTAGTTTGTGAAGACACTCCATATGGTGCGAAACAGTACGAAATGGTTTTGTAGAATTGGGCTGTGTTGATTATCAGGATTATCACTATCCATTCTACTGACATTGTTCACTTTTGATCGTCTGTTGTGTGGAATCATTATCAAGATGGGGTCCTGTAGTCCTAGAGGTTTCCTCGCATAGTATTTAAAGAAGCACCCCTCTAGGGCTGGGACGGGTAACTTGGTTGTCAGGTCGGGAGGGTCCTGAGTAGGACCCGTGTACCCAGAGGAGACCCTTGGATAGTCACGTGATATATTGTGTAATGATAACAACTCACTATAGCTCAGTGGTTACACTACAAGTCGCCAATGTTAGCATTTCTTTCTGATGATGCACACATTCCTTTTGACTTGAACTTGTTTGAGCAAAGATAAAGCTTCAGTCAACTTCAGTGAACGCATGATCTGATCGTTTGATACATGGATGTAAATAGTTTTGGCCAGGACTGCAGCCAAACAGTCCCCTTTCAGACATTTTGTTCCCAATCTTGAGACCTGCAGTGGGTACCCGGGTAGGGTCGGGTAATAGGGGGTCAGGTACCCCGGTAGTAAATTTAGACTCATCCCAATACTACACACCTCCCCATTACGTTCGTATTTAAACATTCAGATTATGACACGGAACCTTGATTTTCTTGTTTGATCTTTCCTGCAAATCAGTATCAGTTACACCACAGCGCATCTGCTCCATGTGAGTGAGTGAGTTGGGTTTAACGCCGCTTTTAACAGTATTCCAGTTATATCGCGGCGTGTCAGCTTAATGGGGGAGGATGCCTGAAGTGATGTAAGCCTCAAACATTCACCACTTAGGTGAAACCAACGAGCAGGGGTATGATGCTGACATACCTAGAGACATAATCGGGGCTAACCGGGATTCGAACCCACAATCATAGGTTTCTGGCGTGCCCAAGGGACGCAACTCTGCACAGCGAATCGCGGCGCCTTAGACGACTGGACCACCCGTGCCCCGCTCCATGTGAAGAAAGCCGGAAGCGGTGAAACACATGAGCCTCCAATCGGTGCATCTTAACGTTGAAGGATGCCACTCTGCCATTAATTGCATTGCCAAAGGCAATTGAGTAACATGCTCCCTGTCTGAGAGCGGTCAAGCTACCGCGAATGTGATATACATTTTTTTTACAAAACGATTCAAATAAAATATTTGAAGAAAAAAAGAAAACTATATCCGTAGAAAGGTCAAGCTTGTGTTGTCACCAGCAAGATTGGTCAAGTAAAGAAGATTTTCGGGGCACGGGTGGCCCAGTCGTCTAAGGCTTTTCGCTGTGCAGAGTTGCGTCCCTTGGGCACGCCAGAAACCTATGATTGTGGGTTCGAATCCCGGTTCGCCCCGATTATGTTTCTAACTTTGGTCATACCCGTGCTCGTGGGTTTCACCGAAGTGGTAAACGCCTGAGACCTGCATCATTTCGGGCTTTTTCCTCCCACATTAAACTGACGCGCCGTGATATAACTGAAATACTGTTAAAAGCTGCGTTAAACCCAACTCACTCACTCAGAAGACATTCTCTTGCTTTTCTTCATAATATTACCGTGTTCCTACTTAGGCCTGTCATATGCCAGCTGTTGATGTCATCAGTTGTGATCCTCCAGGAATGGTGTTTTCTGATGCTTTTTGGGCCTGTACTGGTTGACTTGTTTGTTCTATATCCTTCGTGGAAAAGGGAAGCACACGCAAAGTAAGGTTTAATTGTATTGATTATCTAATGGACGTGTGGATATTCAGGAGTTAACTATCCTAAGACTCTGCTATTCACTGATTAATCACTAATCTAATAGTCCTGATTCCTACTTGAAATGCTTCTAGTAACCATGGTAACACGATGAATCAGACTATATAAGGAACAGTCTGGTTGTTGAATCAGGGCGGTGACATTTATCGGCCCTAGACTATTACAAACTGTTTTTGTCAGACGGATTGTTCCGCATAAAGCTGCCATGCCATGATGTCATTGTGGCATTAAACTATCATAGACTTGAGACTTTTTAGTCGGGGATTATCCTCGTTACTCTCTATTCCTTAAAAATAATGGGCCTCAGCCCCCGCGGAACCTCTGCTCCATTATGGAGCGTTACGAGAATATTCGCCTACTTAAAACACATCTCTACTCTAACTCTTTAACGAAACATTCTAAAGAGTCATAAAACATTACTTTGTAAAGATCTGCTCGCGACTATTAAGGAATGGAGAGGGACTCGGACATTCCCCTCTAAGTAAAACCGCACTCACTCACTCACTCACTCACTCACTCACTCACTCACTCACTCACTCACTGAGTGACAGAAGTGTTGATTGATCGGGGTGTATATGTGACAGAAGTGTTGATTGATCGGGGTGTATATGTAACAGAAGTATTGATTGATTGGGGTGTATATGTAACAGCAGTGTTGATTGATTAGGGTGTATATGTTACAAAAGTGTTGATTGATTGGGGTGTATATGTTACAGAAGTCTTGATTGATTGGGGTGTATATGTTACAAAAGTGTTGATTGATTGGGGTGTATATGTAACAGAAGTGTTGATTGATTGGGGTGTATATGTAACAGCAGTGTTGATTGATTGGGGTGTATATGTAACAGAAGTGTTGATTGATTGGGGGATATATGTGACAGAAGCGTTGATTGATTGGGGTGTATATGTAACAGCAGTGTTGATTGATTGGGGTGTATATGTAACAGAAGTATTGATTGATCGGGGTGTTTATGTTACAGAAGTGTTGATTGATTGGGGGATATATGTGACAAGTGTTGATTGATCGGGGTGTATATGTTACAGAAGTGTTGATTGATCGGGGTGTATATGTGACAGAAGTGTTGATTGATTGGGGTGTATATGTAACAGAAGTATTGATTGATCGGGGTGTATATGTTACAAAAGTGTTGATTGATCGGGGTGTATATGTAACAGAAGTGTTGATTGATCGGGGTGTATATGTAACAGAAGTATTGATTGATTGGGGTGTATATGTAACAGAAGTGTTGATTGATCGGGGTGTATATGTAACAGAAGTGTTGATTGATCGGGGTGTATATGTAACAGAAGTGTTGATTGATCGGGGTGTATATGTAACAGAGGTATTGATTGATTGGGGTGTATATGTAACAGAAGTATTGATTGATCGAGGTGTATATGTAACAGAAGTATTGATTGATCGAGGTGTATATGTAACAGAAGTATTGATTGATCGAGGTGTATATGTATTGAATACTGTTAAACACAACTCACTCACTCACACACAGCTGGATCTGGTGGAAGGTTGTGACCATCGAACTCCGACGGAACGTTGCTCATGATATCAACCACTGGTTTGACAATCCCAGGCCCCATGTGTTTTTAAGCTGCCGTGATACAGTTGAGAATGTGCCGACTGTGGCGAAAAACAACAAACAAACAATTGTGCGTTTGTTAATGACTTTGCCAGTTATACAGTGCACATGTCCACAAACCAAACCAGCTAAGTACGTTTGAAAGTGTGCTTGGCCTCGTTGTGGAGGCTGCTGTCATGTTCAATATGAAGCAGCGAGATACAGGTCACCTTAGTCTCAGACCGATATAGACTGTGCTGATCAGTGAGCTTGATAACGTGGGTGGGGTCAATGTATCAAGGGCGATATCCAGTCTTCTTTGTGGAGGTCGTTTAGTTTGTGTTAATAATGTCTAACACCGTAGCCACGCCAACAGCTAAGCGTCCTGGGTCCAAACAAAGTGGAAGTTTATTTCATAAGTATTGATTGATTGGGGTCCATATGTTACAGAAGTAGTAATTGATTGAGGTGCATATGTCACCTCAGCCTCAGACGGGGTGTATATGTGACAGAAGTGTTGATTGATTGGGGTGTATATGTACAGAAGTGTGGATTGATTGGGGGGTATATGTTACAGAAGTGTTGATTGATCGGGGTGTATATGTAACAGAAGTGTTGATTGATTGGGACGTACATGTACAGAAGTGTTGATTGATTGGGGTGTATATGTGCAGAAGTGTGGATTGATTGGGGGGTATATGTTACAGAAGTGTTGATTGATCGGTGTGTATATGTAACAGAAGTGTTGATTGATTGGGGTGTATATGTACAGAAGTGTTTATTGATTGGGGTGTATATGTACAGAAGTGTGGATTGATTGGGGGGTATATGTTACAGAAGTGTTGATTGATCGGGGTGTATATGTAACAGAAGTGTTGATTGATCGGTGTGTATATGTAACAGAAGTGTTGATTGATTGGGGTGTATATGTAAAAGAAGCGTTGATTGATCGGGGTGTATATGTGACAGAAGTGTTGTTTGATCGGGGTGTATATGTAAGAGAAGTGTTGATTGATTTGGGTGTATATGTGACAGAAGTGTTGATTGATCGGGGTGTATATGTAAGAGAAGTGTTGACTGATCGGGGTGTATATGTAAGAGAAATGTTGATTGATTTGGGTGTATATGTGACAGAAGTGTTGACTGATCGGGGTGTATATGTAACAGAAGTGTTGACTGATCGGGGTGTATATGTGACAGAAGTGTCGATTGATTTGGCAGTATATGTGACAGAAGTGTTGATTGGTCGGGGTGTATATGTAACAGAAGTATTGATTGGTCAGGGTGTATATGTAACAGAAGTGTTGATTGGTCGGGGTGTATATGTAAAAGAAGTGTTGATTGATCGGGGTGTATATATGTAAGAGAAGTGTTGATTGATCGGGGTGTGTATGTGAGAGAAGTGTTGATTGATTGGGGTGTATATGTAAGAAAAGTGTTGAATGATTTGGGTGTATATGTGACAGAAGTGTTGATTGATCGGGGTGTATATGTAAGAGAAGTGTTGATTGATCGGGGTGTATATGTGACAGAA